ATAAAATTCAAGAGTGTGTGTTAAGGGGGAGGCCACCCTTAACGTGCAATACAAGAGTTTTGAAGGTCCACTAGACTTATTAGTAGTAGGGGGTGAACGAACGAGTCTCATAGGACTCGATTGGTTTGAGGCCCTGGGGATACACGTCACAGGACTCAACAGCTTACAAACACTCGACCTACAGGAAGTCTGCAAAGAATTTGCAGATGTTTTCAGCCCCCAGCTGGGCACATTCAAAGGACCCCCTGTGTCCTTAAAGCTAGACCCCACTGTCACTCCCATTAGAATTAAAGCAAGAAGGGTCCCTTTTGCTTTAAAGAGTAAAATTGACACTGAGTTAGACAAACTGATCCAACAGGGAATCCTAGAACCTGTTGATTCCAGTCCTTGGGAGACCCCCATTGTCACGCCTCTAAAGGCAAATGGGGACATTCGCATTTGTGCTGACTACAAATGCACTCTGAATAAGGCATTGCAGCAACATGCCTATCCTGTTCCTGTGGTCAGTCATATTCTGGCCTCCCTCAAGGGGGGGCGCGTTTTTGCAAAGCTTGACCTAGCTCAAGCGTATCAACAGCTGCCTGTTGATGATGATGCTGCTATAGCTCAGACTATTGTGACCCACAGGGGAGCCTTTAAGGTAAAAAGGCTACAGTTTGGAGTGAATGTCGCTCCTGGGATTTTCCAAAGCGTAATGGAAAACACACTACGGGGTATACCAGGGGTTTGCCCCTACTTTGATGATGTCTTAATTGCAGGAGACTCCACACACATTCTAGCTGAAAGGCTAAGGGCTGTTCTGTTAAGATTCAGGAAGTCAGGCCTCAAGCTCAAAAAAGACAAATGCAAGATTGGGGTGCCTTCTACTGAATTTCTGGGGTTCAAAATTGATGCTGCTGGGATTCACCCTGCTGAATCCAAACTAACAGCTATTTTAGAAGCACCTAGGCCAAAGTCCAAGGCCGAACTTCAGGCCTTCCTGGGCCTCCTGAATTTCTACAATTCTTTTCTTCCACATAAAGCTAGTGTAGCTGAGCCTCTTCACAGGCTACTAGACAAACAAGCAGTGTGGCAGTGGTCACATACACATGAGGCTTGCTTTAACAAAGTCAAGGCCTTGCTCACTTCTAACAGTGTACTTGCACATTTCAACGAATCTCTTCCTGTGTGCATCGCATGTGATGCGTCCCCTTACGGGGTAGGAGCTGTCCTGAGCCACCTCAGGTCTGATGGAACTCAGGTTCCTGTTGCATATTACTCCAGAACATTGTCTTCTGCTGAGCGCAACTACGCTCAGATAGACAGGGAGGCTCTGGCTGTTGTTGCTGGAATTAAAAAATTCCACGATTTTCTATATGGCAGGCATTTCACGGTCTTCACTGACCATAAGCCTCTGCTGGGACTGTTTACCACACGTAAGCAGACTCCCCAAATCATTTCCCCTAGAATGCTTAGGTGGTCTATTTTTCTGTCTGCATATGATTTTTCTTTACTCCACAAGCCTGGGAAAGAAATGGGCCATGCTGATGGCCTCAGTAGATTGCCTCTGCCAGTAGTAGAAGCTGACCCTGCGCCAGCTGTCAACATTCTATCAATCCAAGCCTTGCCCGAGCTCCCTCTTTGTGCCAGGGATGTTGCCGCTGAAACAGGTACAGATCACACACTTTCACGTGTCCGTTCCTGGGTTTTGTCCGGTTGGCCTGAGCACTGCCCTAGTCCTGAGTTTCAGAGTTTCTGGTCCAAAAGAAACGAGTTGTCCCTTTCTCAGGGTTGTCTGCTTTGGGGAAACAGAGTTGTCATTCCCACCTCAATGAGGACTAGGGTCTTAGAATCCCTCCACGAGGGTCATCCTGGCATTGTTCGTATGAAGGCTCTTGCACGCAGCCACTTGTGGTGGCCTGGTTTAGATAAGGATATTGAGGCTAAGGTGCATGCATGCCACCTGTGCCAACGATCTCGCCCAGAGATGCCCCAAGCTCCCGTGCATAAATGGGAGGAAACACAGTCCCCATGGTCTAGGGTGCACATTGACTACGCTGGGCCCTTTCAGGGCCAGTTCTTCTTGGTCCTTGTTGACAGCCATTCAAAATGGCTTGAGGTTGTACCTGTCTCTCCACCACCACTGCAAAGACTATTCAGGTACTGAGGGGGATTTTTGCTGCACACGGGCTTCCAGATGTCATCGTGTCTGACAACGGCCCTCAATTCACTTCCTCCGAATTCCAAGCTTTCTTACAGGCTAACATGATTCGTCATGCCACGTCTGCACCCTTCCACCCGTCCACCAACGGTATGGCTGAACGTATGGTGCGCATCAAAGGACGCCTTGAAAAGACTCACCTACGGGGACTGGCATCACAGGTTGGCTGACTTTCTCCTTTCTTATCGCACCACACCGTCCACTTCTACAGGGAGAAGCCCAGCTGAACTTCGCTGGGGGCGTCAACTTACTACTAAACTTGACCGGTTGCATCCGGACAGACTGCCTTCACCTACCTCACATCCTAGGGCACCGAGAAAACTACTTGTGGGTGCCCCGGTTTGGGCTCGCAATTACGGGCCTGGTCATACCTGGGTCCCCGCTTCTATTTCCAGGGTCACAGGTCCTCTCTCCTACGAGGTAGCCCTGGACAACGGTCGTGTCCTGCGTCGGCACATCGACCAACTCCGCCCTAGGCGGTACTTTTCAGATGAGACTCCTGGGTCTTTTCCAGGGGGGGAGGGGGACCCTTTGGAGCAAAGGGAAGGGCACGAGCTGCTGCCCATCTCCACTGATGGAGCCACAAACGGCCCATCCCAGGGTTCCGCGAGAGCTCCGAACAAGAATTCTATGAGCCTACCTAACTACCAGGCATCCACGCCTACTCCAGCCAGGGAGTCACCCCGGGGGCATACTCACTGTCCACACACATCATACAGCACTCCAGTCACGGAGGATACCCGGGGGCATCCCAACAAATCATTCCCCGCAAGAGAGCTGGCACACAATCCCCAAGGTTGGCCTGACCTTACCCCAAATTCTACAGGGGGTCAAACATACAGGGAGGTGGTCGAGGAACCAAGTCCCGACTACAACACCTCTAGCCCAAATCAGGGAGTAACTGAGTTTTGGGAAAGTACAGAAACCACACAAGCCCGGACACAGAACGGGGTTCAGGGAATGGACAGCCTCCTGACAGGTCTTGGATGGACCTAGGAGGTTCAACAGAGACGCCCAGCAGTGGCTATCACTTCAAGGGGCCCGAGGGTCTACAGCTAGGCAGGTCAACCAGGTCACAAAGTGACAGAAGCCCTGGCCTGACGAGCCCGGTGGGCGAGCAAGCAGGCCAGGCAGGGGCACAGTCCTTGGAAGGCACCAAGGCAAAATAAGGAGAACAGGCTCACATCTCCCTCCAGTCAGGGAACTCATGCTAGTAACCCAGAGCTGAGAAGGTCACAGAGAGCAAAGAAGTCTCCTAAATACTTAGAGGATTACATAACATTGCTGGCTAAACAAAAGCCAGGTAACGATAGGAGCACTGAGAAGCAGAACACTGCATAAAATAAATGATTATATGTTGGTAGTAGTTTTAGCCCGGGGGAAAGGGGTGTTATGTCCCGAGCCTTGCAAACGGCTCGGGCGTTTGCAGGCAGTCCCGGGCAGGTGCAAAGCTGCCCGGGACCAGACAGGCTGTCGCCAGCGCCGTGCGCATGCGCGGGTGCTGGCACAGGAAAAGTATCACATTTACCCGGGAAGCGTCTATATAAGAAGCTGGGAGGTTTTGGGAGCTGCTGAAGCCATCTACTTGTAAGCTGAACGCAGAATAAAGGAAACTGAGAACTTCAACTGCTTCTCGTGTCTGCTTCCCGCCAAGGACTCAACAGAAAGCTACCTGATATCAACCTAAGCAAGTTGTGCTTCCTTTTTCTGGTTATTTGGCTATAACGTTTCATAGAATACAGTATAGATAATTGAACAAACTTTGTTGCATTACATTCTTGATTAAATTATCTTTCCATTGATGTAAAAAAGATGTTGATACTCTAGAAAGAGTACAGAGAAGAGCAACAAAGATGATTAGGGGACTGGAGGCTAAAACATATAAGGAACGGTTGCTAGAATTGGGTATGTCTAGTTTAACGAAGAGAAGACAAGGGGGGACATGATAGCAGTATTCCAATATCTCAGGGGCTGCCATAAAGAAGAGGGAATTAAGCTATTTTCCAAAGCACCTGAAGGCAGGACAAGAAGCAACGGGTGGAAACTAATCAAGGAGAGAAGCAACCTAGAACTAAGGAGAAACTTCCTGACAGTGAGAACAATTAATCAGTGGAACAGCTTGCCTCCAGAAGCAGTAAATGCTCCAACACTGGAAGTTTTTAAGAAGAGACTGGACAGCCACTTGTCCGAAATGGTGTAGGGTTTCCTGCCCGAGCAGGGGGTTGGACTAGATGACCTCCAAGGTCCCTTCCAATTTTACTACTACTATTATTATTATTATATATAATTTTATGGTACTACTCAAAAAAAGTGGTGTTATTAGCCATCAAACCTCAAAAATAGACTTTTCTCAAAAGGTTTCCACAATTGTGGCCACTACTGTACACAGAACAGCCAATCTCTGTACAAAGCAGAGATGCAGATGTGGAGAAGGAGATCAGATCTTTCAATCTAGCAATAGCAGATGGATACTTCAGGAATTTTAATATTAGAAATCAGTGTGGGAACTGCTAGGGGTACCAGGAAACAGGAAATTTGGGAAGATATGGCATTTATCAATAAAATATAGATGAAGACAAACTTGTGAAAATGGTTTCCTGGTCTGGCTGATCTCAAAGGGCTAACAAATTCTGAGATTGCTCATTTGTGCTCATCAAAGCACAAATCAATACTGCTTCCATGCTGGCTAGGCAGTCTAGGCACTAACACCCTAAATACATTTGGAGGCACCATCCGTTGCATGCAAGAGGTTGAGGCAATAAAGGGAAGTGGAAAAGAAAACAGAATTCAGTTTCCTTACCTGGAGGCAAGAAGAGGGCTCCCCGGACCCGGCCAGACTTAATTGGGATGCGTTCCACTCCGGGGGCTGCGTACCATCGTTCCACAGTGGAAGTAGCCAGTGGTTCATGCGTGGGCAAGGGCACAATCACAGTAGAATTAAAGAGACTAATCTGAACATAGAAGGGGCTGCCTGTCACATCACGTTTGAGCAGCCTGTGGAACATCTTCTCAGCCTTTAGAGTGTAGAAGAGGCCCATGGACCACACACCTGTATAGTTGCCTCCCAGAGCAGAGGCCTCTGCCACATCTACTTCTCCATTCTGATTGGCTTGGTAAAAGGCTCTGGCTGTATACTTCACTCCCCTTTCATCTGTCAGTGATGCATGTAGGGTCACAAGCTGGGCAGGCGCCAGACCAGAGGCATAAATCTTCACTGGCGAGTCAGCAAGGGAGACTTCAGGAGTGACACTGAGGTGGACCATAGCTGCCAGTACCTGGGGAAAGTCAGGCTCCTAATCATATAAATTTGGGACTTTTTCAGTCTCCTTATCTCTCCCCTCTTAAATCATGCTGGTCCTCAATCTGTGGTCAAGGTGTCATCTACACTGCTCTGCCAGTCCTATGTTGCAATGCTGAAGTATTTCAGAGGTGCCTGTTTCATTAACTTGTTCAGACACTTCTTAATCCGAGAACCCAACACTAGAACCTATTGGAGGATTTCATAAATGCTCCTATGTTTTGGGGAGGGGGTGACATCAATTGAAATGCATCTCATTTAACCAACTGTGGATATCTTTTGTGAACACACATCTACAATTTCCTACTTTGAAATTATTGGCATCAACCGGTTTATGCCACAGATCAGTTTGCAAGATTATTAAAATGTTGTTAAAACCAGCAGGCAGGAAAAGGAACAATAAGCAGCTTTGGATACACACCTGTGTGAGATCCTCTTTCCACAGGCAGTTCCAAACTTGATGATTTTGCAGTTCACTATGAACTTCCCCAAACACTATGAATGTTTGTTTAGACAGCTAAACAAACTTTCCTTTAAGCCAGTGGTTCTCAACCTGTGGGTCAGGACCCCATTTGGGGTCGAACGACCATTTCACGGGGGTCGCCAAACAACGCAGTCCGCCATTTTTTTTTCCCTTTTCCTTAGCTGTGCTACTCCCTTTTATTCTATTGGCTTTTGAAAGCCAATAGAATAGACTCTCTTGAATAGAGTCTAATTCTATTGGCTTTCAAAAGCCAATAGGAATTGTCCAGGCTGTCTCTGCCCTGCTGAGCCCGCCAAAAGTCCCATTCTGCAAACGGTGTTGCACCAGTTCAGTAGTCCTACCGGTTGAATAGTCCTCGACTTATGACCAGTTGGGGGTCATGGCATTAAAAAGGTTGAGAACCACTGCTTTAAGCTAACTCCCTCCCATGGAGCAGAAGAGGGGAGGAGAAGGCAAAGCTTGTCAGGATTTTGCGCACCTCCCCTCCCCTTCCAGCTCAAAGTGAGCCTCTGGATTTGCCTGATTACAGAATCAGCTTCACACAGCCACATTCTTTTCTCTCAACCTGAATGGAGAGTGCAATTCTTTGTCTCCAACCCACAACAAATACAATACCTTTCAGTTCCAAACTTTTCCAGAATAAAGGCTTGCTCTGCCAGCTGACGGCTAAGGAAAAAAAATAAATAAACTTTGAGCAGAACTCGGAACTCCTTTCCACACTCTTCTCTGGAGCAAACAGCACCTTAAAGAAGAAGAACCAGAGAAGATTTTGGAAAATAAGGAGCTGGATCCGCCCCATTTGACTCGAACTAATTCTCAGGGTGATATAAAAGTTGGAGTGGAATTTAATAGACTGGAACAAGCAATTTTAGAAAAAATCAGGAACAGCAAAGTACAGTATTCTATTTGTTACTGTTTTCTGCACAATCATTTTAAGGAGTAGTTAAATAAATAATGCTTTCTTTTAACCCTTAAATGCCTTAAAATATACTGTACCCAAAACAAGGCAGAATTGCTTAAAACACTTTCTGTAAAACAGATAAAACTCCACAGTTACGTGCACCAAGAAAGTAGAGACTCCAAAAGAGTGCAAATTTCAGACCAAAATCAGTATTTGAAAACATTACCGCCTACCCAGCCAGACTAATGAATCTCACCAGACACATTGTGCATCTGAGGGCTTTAATGCCAAAAGAATCAAGCTACCACCAGGAAACTATATTCTCAGTAAAAATCTGTACTGTCTAAAAATGGTCCATCTAGCCCAGACATGTCAAACACAAGCCCGGGGGCCGGATGCGGCCCGTGAAATGGTTTCATGTGGCCTGCGAAGCCATCCTGGAAACAGTGAGACAACGGCCTCCTCTGCCTTGGCCCTGGCCCAGGCCCGCCGGGAGCCAATGTACAATTTTGTGATGGCCCTCTATGCTGAAATGCATTCAGTCTTAGCTCCATAAGCCCCCTGCTCGCATGGCCTGAGAGGAACAGTGAGGATCCTCCAGTGGACCATGCCTTGGCACGTGCCCCGGTTTCACCCCCTTCTGCCAGAGACCCTCAGATCTGTCCCACTCCTGCCCAGGCACCCACAGGCACCCTTGATGCGAATGATGTAGAGCTGGCCATGCCCACCCAGTAGGCCACACCCACTCCATCCATGCCCACCCAGTAGACTGCACCCACCCTGGCCACACCCATCTATCCCCCTGAGAGCAACCGGAATGCTGATGCGGCCCTCAATGAAATTGAGTTTGATACCCCAGACCTAGAAAATGAATTTGTGTGGATACCCTATCTGCAAGAATAAAACTAGAATTTTATTAGGGTTCAAGTTGATGAGAAAGAGATACACCCAGCTGGCTTTGTGCCGAACAAGCAGTGAAAGGGGGGGAGAATTGTAATGGGAGAAAAAAATCTAACAAAATTAAGACTACATCGTCCCCTCCACAGTCTTTTGAATATGACCAAGGTCAAATCTAAATTCCTTTCTTTGCCTAATCGCCTATTTTAATGGGAAGGATGAGCTCACTGAATTGTTGCCTAGTTGCTGAAATCTGGGTTTGCTTTACAGACACCCACCCTAACCAAAGTTAGGAAAAGGGAGGGGAAAAAACCCAACCCAGCTTGTCTACCTCCCTAAAGGGAGAAGTCAAGGCTCCCTGCCTCAGCACGAAAGTGTTTGGCAGGATTTACTGGAATGGTTGCCCTGGAAAAGGCTTTGTGGCTCAGACAGGCCTGAGGCTGCTTCGGTGAACCGAGGCAGCATTTTAATGCCTCTGCTAAAGCAATAAGAGTAACCCCACAATTTAATGAAACTTTACTCTTTCCCTCAAATGAGAGCTTGCTCCTCCCTGGGTTAGCTTCCCCTGATGGAGCAGCCAGTCAACCAGGAGAGATTTCTGAGGTTGACAATCTCCCCCCCCCCCATCTCAGCCCTGCCTGGTTGTGAGGGGGCTTCTTGAGGTGGGGGTCTCACCTGGCCTCATGAAGGGCTAGTTTTTCTGGCAGTGTAATGCTGGCAATAAAGTGGAATAATAAAGAATAATGAAAAATAAAGTAGAATAAAATGGAATAATAATAATAATAATAATAATGAAAAATCACTAAAAGAAAAATGATGTGTCTGCATAGTTACTGGAATAAAGCTGTGTAAGCAATCTGTGACTGACCAAATACGCATGACATTTAGAAACATTGTATGAAGCAAAACTCTCTTCATTGTATGCCTGTGAGAAACTAACCGAAGGAAATACAATGTAGATTTCTATGTGAACTTCTTTGTTCCTGAGAAATGGAAAGTATAAAACTGTAGTTTGAACCCACCCTCTTTGTTCAGAACTGCTGGTTGTTAATTGCTTCTGAGCCTTGCACAAAATAAATCTCTCTGCTAACACCCTCTGGAATTCCTAAAAGTCTCTTACGTTTTTCTACAAGAATTCTGGCACCCCCAGATGGGACTTTTAGGAAGAGGCCGTTGACCTTTCAGATGGACTTCCCTGGTGGAGAGCGCCTCTCCTAACGACGACTGCTCCAAGCCGGCTCCGTGGCTTTTGTCTACGGGGAGACCTCGACAGGAAGGGAGGGAACACACCCACCAGCGAAGCATTTCAGTCAAGGATCCATCGAGGGTATCAGACGGATCTTTAATCCTGGGAAGAGTCTGGAAACGCCTGCAAGCAAGTATTGTAAAAGGGGAAACCTGATCCCTTTTGGATCAGAAGAGGGGACTGATCACCCCCTAGAAGACAAGGCGGCATCCTTAAGTCTTCAATAGGTAGGATTGTGTGGGTGGTTAAACCATCGCTGTTCCTGCAGAGTGACCGTTGGAACGACCAGCGCCTCAGGTCGATGGTAGTGTATTAGAGAGAAATGGGAGGTAAACAGTCCAAGAAGGGCGTTGGCCAGATGCCTCTTTAGTGTATGTTAGAAAATTTCAAAAAGGTTTTTTCTAGGGATTATGGGGACCCAAGACCAAATCCAAAAGAGTCTGTGAATCTGAATGGACCACCTTTGGCGTAGGGTGGCCCAAAAAGGAATCAGCGAATCCCGAACTCATAGCACGGGTTCATCAAATTGTGACTGGAAGTGGTCATTGGGACCAATATCCCTATATCGACCAGTGGCAGATCAATATTGCAGAAAAGCCTCGATGGTTAGCAAAGTGTCAGATAGAATGTGCTAAAATATATTTGGCAAGCCAAAAAGCCAAGCCTCAGACAAAAGCTAAGATTTTCAGCCAGGAAGACAGGGAGGAAATTGCCAGACCTCCTCCCTATGTTCCTAGAAGAGAAGAAGGGAGAATACATCAGCAAATATCACCCCCCTCGGTTGAAAGAAATGAAGTCCATCTTCAACCAGAAGCCAGTGTGGAAAGAAAGATAAAAGAAGATAAAACAGTTCTTAAAAAAGAACAGGACTTAGATAGCGATGAAAGCAAAACATCAGTTTCTAGTCGAGCTAAAAGTAAAACAGGGGTCAAAACAGAAGAAATTATAGCCCCTCTAAGAGAAGTTTTGGTCCCTGGACCAAATAACACCAATATTACAATGCTCCAGTATGTTCCTTTTACAACCACTGATCTACTAAATTGGAAACAGCAATTTGGGCCATTTTCAGAGAAACCTCAAGAAATAATTGATTATTCTCAACTATTATTCAAATGCATAACCCCATGTGGGATGATATGCAACAGCTTATTTCTACTTTACTGGATTTGGAAGGCAGAGAAAAATATAGATTAGGAAAATTGAAAGTACTGATCCGTCGACAGGCGAAAAGAGATACCAAAGCTGTAGAACAAAGACCAGACTGAAATGCTAACGATATGCAGCACCAAACTTTGTTGCAAAATTACAGGCTTTTGTGTTTAGAAGCCTTGAGTGAAGTAGCAATCCTTCCAGTTAATTATGCTGCTGTAACTAGCGTTTGGCAAGAAAAAAATGAACCATCAACTGCTTTTCTCAGCCGACTGATAGAGGCTTATAAAGTAAACACAGGTCTTGATATGGAGTTGGGACAAAATCACCCATTCCTAATTGAAAGATTTATTACCCAGAGTGCCCCGGACATAAAGAGAAAGTTACAGCGCACAGAGGGAGCATTAGGCAAGAATATAGCAGACATTATGGAAATAGCACAAAAGGTATTCCGTAACCGTGAGAAGGAGGAAGAGCGTAAATCAGATCAGAAAGAGAAAAAGAAAGTTGAAATGTTAGCAGTGGCATTGGGGGGAATGCATATTGGACCCAACCAATGTGCCATCTGTAGACAGGAAGGACACTGGCAAAGGGAGTGCCCCCAGAGAAATGGCCAACACAGGGTACAATCTTGCCAGCATGGAAGAGGACGAGGACGAGGATTTAAAGGGACTTTCCAGAGAGGCTACAAGGGAAGCTTCAAAGGAAGAGGGCATCCAGCCTACCCCAGTCAGACAGAAGAAAGAGAAGAAAACATGATTGGCTTAGCTAACGTGGAATGGGGAGACTGAAGAGGATAGGGTTCTATGGCCCCACCCCTGGAGCCCATTGTTAAAATACGGGTGGGAGGACAGATTGTCCCGATGTTAGTTGACACAGGAGCCACCAAATCTGTCCTAAATAAATCTATTGGCAAGCAATCAAAACAGACCATCCAAATTCAGGGAGTATCTGGAGAAACTCAATCCAGACCACTTGTGGAACCCCTAACATGCCAAGTGGGACAAGGAATCATTAAACATCAGTTCCTATATGCCCCAGAATGCCCCATTCTGGTATTAGGGAAAGACTTGCTTACTAAATTGAAAGCGACCATATCATTTGACCATGGAAAACAATTAATGCAAGTGCACCACCCAGTGGAAGAAATATGGCGCTTGATGATAATGACAGAAAAAGAAACAGGAAATTCTAATTGGCAACAATTTAATGTTCCACTCCTGTGGGCAGAAAACAACCCCCCTGGATTTGCAAAATGTGCCACACCCGTTATGGTGGAACTAAAGCCACAGGCGCAGCAGTTAGAGTGCAGTACTGCAGGCCACTTTAACTGACTGTGTTCAGCAGGTCAGCGGTTCAAATCTCACCGGCTCAAGGTTGACTCAGCCTTCCATCCTTCCGGGGTAGGTAAAATGAGGACCCAGATTGTTGGGGGCAATGTAAATATATATATACATTGCTTACTGGTGTATACCGCTTAGAGAGTGCTTGCACTTAAAGCGGTATATAAGTCTCATAAATAAATAAATAAATAAATAAATAAATAAATAAATATCCTGTTAGAGTGCCTCAACGATATTGTACTCCAGAGGCTGCAATTGCCATTCAAGAATTAATCCAAAAATACTTGATAGCAAAAA